AAACATTAAAAAATTTTAATTTAAAATGGATCATACATAAAAATATAAAACTCTTAGAAGAAAACACAGGAGTAAATCTTCATGATCTTAGACAATGGCTTCTTAGATACAGTAACAAAAGCACAAGCCATAAAAGAAAAATTTGATATATTGGACTTCATCAAAATTAAAAAAAAAAATTTGTGCCTCAAATGATATCATCAAAAAGTAAAATGACAACGCATTTAAAAGTGAGAAATATTTAAAAGTCATATATCTGAAAAGGGACTTGTATCCAGAATATATAAAGAACTCTTACAACTCAATAATATGAAAATAAATGACTGAAAAGTTGGGCAAAGGATATGAACAGAGGTTTCCCTTCTGAAGATATACAAATGGCCAATAAGCACTTGATAAGGTACTCAACACCATCAGTCATTAGGGAAATGCACATCAAAGCCACAAGTTACCGCTTCACACCCACTAAATTGTCTATAATAATTTTTTATTTAAAAAAAATTTTTTTTTAACATTTATTTATTTTTGAGACAGAGAGACAGAGCATGAATGGGGGAGGGTCAGAGAGAGAGAGGGAGACACAGAATCCGAAACAGGCTCCAGGTTCTGAGCTGTCAGCACAGAGCCCGACGCGGGGCTTGAACTCACGAACCGCGAGATCATGACCTGAGCCGAAGTCGGACGCCTAACCGACTGAGCCACCCAGGCGCCCCTATAATAATTTTTTAAAAAGCCAGACAATAACAAGTGCTGGTGAGGAGGCGGAGAAATCGGAAGCCTCATACACTGGTGGATTAAAAGACCAAAATGGTGTGACCAGTTTAGAAAACAGCTTGGCAGTTCCTTGAAACGTTAAACATGGAGTTACCATAGGACCAAACAGTTCTGCTCCCGGGTACATTTCCAAGGGAAACGAAAACATTATGTGCCTCACGAAGACTGCTACATGAATACTCGTAGCAGCATTATTCATAACAGCCACAAAGTGGAAACAATTCAAATGCTCACCAGCTGCTGAATGGGTAAATGAAATGTATATCCATACAACAGAGTATTTGTCAGCAATAAAGCAGAACAAAATACTGATATATACACTACAATATGGATGGACCTCAAAAACATGCTCAGTGAAAGAAGCCAGTCATAAAAGACCACAAAGTGTATGATCCCATTTATATGAAAGGTCCAAAATAGGAAAATGCAGGGAGACCGAAAACAGATTAGTGGCTGCCCAGGGTTGAAGGAGGGTGGAATGGGGAGTGACTGCTTACTGGGTACAGCGTTTCTTTTTGGGATGATGCAAATGTTCTAACGTTAGACTATGGTGGGGACTGCACAACTTTGTCAATATAATAAAAACCACTGACTTGTACACTTTAAATGGGCAAACTTTATGGTGCGTACATTTTATCCAATGCAATTGCGTTTTGAAAAATTAAATCAGACGACATCAAATGCAATGTGGTATTCTGGATCGGATCGAGGAACAGAAAAGAGGCATTAGTGGGAAAAAAAACTGGTCAAAATCTGAATAATGTTTGTACTGTAGTTAATGTGTTGTACTAAGGCAATTGTACTAATGTTAGTTTCTTCACAAATGCTCATGGTTTGGTGCGATGCTAACATTAGGGAGGACGAGTGAAGGTAATACAGGAACTCTGGATTATCGTTGCATCTTTTCCGTAAATCTGAAATGACTCCAAAATCAAAGTAAGAAACCACCATGGCAAACCTTTAGTGCACCTGACGCAGTGAGTCAGAGAAAAAGGGAGAAAGAGAGAGAGGAGGCACAAATAAATAACTACAACTGACACACGGGATATAAACTACAAAAGAGCGGAGATGTAACCATGATACTAAGAACAATTACGTACCAGTGCTGTGCAAGGTAGGTTCCTTCACTGTCACCCTATCAGGTCTCGGGGCTCAGGATGATTTTCATAATGCGACACAGATCGAGATCAGGAACAGGCTCTGTTGGGGGGCAGAAGAGGAGACAAGATAGGGTCAGAATGAAGGGTCGGCCAGAAGAGACAAGATGGTGGTCTTGACAAGATGGTGGTCTTGACAAGATGGTGG